TCTCTGTCCTGCTCCCAGGTACAATGGCGAAGTTGGCGATATTGTGGTCGGGAGGATTACGGAGGTAAAGCTCAATACTTCCTGATGAGCCGTGGAGGAGGAGGGTGGCCCGCTGGCCGGCTGCCAGGCTGGTGTGTCTCTGTCTGATCGGGCCCGCTTCTGACGTTCCTAAAAGCACATCAGCGTCCCTGCACAGAGGCACTGCTGTGAGCGTGTGGGTTTTAAGCAAGATGAGGCTGGAAGTCGTCAGCAGAGCTGTCTCCTCCTGCAGGCTCGGCTGGCTGCAGGACTTCATGCTCTGCTGAAGAGCTTCTGTTCAGTTTTGGAGTGTAAATCAACAGATTATTTTTCTTCTCCACAGAAGCGATGGAAAGTGGAAACAAATTCCAGGCTAGATTCAGTCCTGTTGCTGTCGTCTATGAATTTACCTGGTGGGGAGCTGGTGAGTGTAGCTCACGCAGAGCAGTGCCATTGCCCTGTCTTCTTCTGCTTCCATGGCAGAACCTGAGGCACTGGGAAGCTCTGGAGCCGTTCCCACAGTTAGCACAAGGGTAGTGTTGGGTTTTGTGGGTGGGTCTGTAGTGCTCCGATATTTTTAACTCTCAGTGTTATTTGGACATAAAGTCTTCAGTGATTTAAAGGTGTGCTAGTCTGCCTGATTTTCCTTTGGTGACTGGATTGCATTTTGCATGGCATCCTAAGGTCTCCCCGCAGCATAGGTATTAACTGATATTTTCTCATTCTGAGCTATGCGTAACTTTTCTTGCATTGTGCATTTCAGAGAAGGAGATCAGCAGAAGATGAGCTTGCGATGAGGGACTATCTGCAGGAAGGAGACCTCATCAGCGTATCCTTCCACTGCTTGCACTTAGACAGAAGAGCCAAGGGCGTGGGGAGAACAGCCAGACCTCAGCCAGCCTGGCTGGTGGCAAGAGCTCTCTGCCAGGGACAGCCAGCAGCTGTTGGCACTGGGCAGCTTTAGGGACTGTGTTTCCTTAAGTGGCACTGACAGGCAGAGGTCCAGTCTGTATTTTCTGATGGGGCTGTATCACTGCACACCCGGAGTCTGAAATATGGGAAGGTAAGTTGTTCAGAAGCACTTCATCTTGGCTCAGTTCTGCTCCAGTTGACTTGTATAAGGTCTTTTGGAGGGATTTTTAAGAAAAAGCTCTGGAGTAGAGCAAGATGTTGTTATAACCCATTCCTGCAGGTTAGGAAGAATCTTACGTGGCAGCAGTGAGCAGAGTTTCCCCAAAGCAGAGAAAGTGTCCTTGAGTTGCCCTTTGAGCTGCTTCTCTCCCTGTCCACAATTACAGCTCCTGAGTCCTGTTTCCCCTGCTAGCTGCTTGGGAATTAAACGCTGGGGAGGAAAATGTTCTGACTCAAACTTCATCACTCCTCTTCTGCAGGCGATTGCCTCTGACTTGTTTCTCTCTCCAGGGCTCTATTTTAGGCTTTACGCAGTTGGCATTTATCTCTGGTTTTGTGCGTTGAAATAAGCCAAGGGGCCGTTGAAGTGTAGGCTGCAGTTTGGGATTACCAGACCGAGGGTATTAGCACTTAAAAGATGAAAGCGAAGTGTGCTTATTGCACAAAGGGTGAAGGACAGCGACTGGATTAAGAGGGAGAGTGTTCTGCTAAATTGGGCTTCTCACTCCTCATTTTTCTGCAGGGATGGTTGATGTGCAGTTACGATCAAGATGATATTAACATTTGTGCTAAGCACTTGGAGTATTCTTCATCTTCAAAGGACTGCACAGGCATTAGCTAATCCTCCCAGCACTCCCAGAGGCAGGCAGGTTTTATATTCACTGTTTCACAGGAAAGGGTGTTAAAATTGACTGGTTCCTAGAGCAGAAATGGAGTGCACGTCAGTGACTTGATGTTACCTGTGGTGGCTGATGTCGCTCATGCTGAGTCTTGTCGTCTCATCTGCAGCTTGCCCAGGGTGTGCTCGTTCAGGTCTCGCCCTCCCTTGTGAAACGCCAGAAGACTCACTTCCATGACTTGCCCTGCGGTGCATCTGTGATCCTCGGCAACAACGGTTTCATCTGGATCTACCCAACTCCAGAGCAGAAAGATGAAGAGGCAGGGGGCTTCACCACCAACTTGGAGGTGAGGGTTCAGGGAAGATGAACCTTCTCCTACCAGTGATGTTTTCTTAGTCTAACATAGTCAGAGGCACATGAATAACCTGAGACTTTCGACATTTGATATTAGGTTCATCGCAAAGCTTTTTTACAGTCGGCTTGTGTTATTTCCCTGTGTGTTCATGTCTTTTCCTCTGTCCTTCCTCAGCCAGTTCCTTTGTCTGACCGGGAGGTGATCTCACGGCTTCGAAACTGCATTGTGGCCCTGGTTACTCAGAAGTTGATGCTCTTTGACACCAGCATCCTGTATTGCTATGAAGCATCCCTTCCTCATCAGGTACAGAAACCAGTGGTGTTTACTTTATTTCACACTGTGGGGAGGGAGTGGAAAGGCCGCATCAATTGCTGCTGAAGTCAGTAAGTTAGGTCGTAGGGTTGTGGGGAGGGAGTGGAAAGGCCGCATCAACTGCTGCTGAAGTCAGTAAGTTAGGTGGTAGGGCTTCCTTTCGGCTTTCCAAAGCATCCTGTAGTAAGTGACAATATGAACTTCCCCCCGCTTCTGCATCACATAAATTGCGTTGCACGTTTTCAGGGATAGTGTGAAGGATTCTGCCTCTGGCAGAGTCCAACTATTCCTACAGAGGAATAGGTCCATTTTTTGACAGATGTTGTGTATCCCTTGCTGGGATTGTGGACCCTCTGCGATCCCTGTAAATACCGTGCTAAATTTGGCATTGTGTGAGGGTACGGTGCACTTCTATAAACAAATGAAAAAACAAGTGTCATGTATAGCACAGAGACTGGTCCTCTGTTTGTATCCACATCCTGCACTGCTGGAAGGCTTCCTCAATTTGAGCTTTTGCTGTATGGCTTTTCTCTGTGACTTCTACCAGCACAATCATGGACAATTCTCTTTTCCTAAATGGATAAGATCTGAATTGTCTTCTGCTTTCATTCACAGTGGCAGCCTACTTAGATAGATGGGGTTTTTTTGAAGTATACTTCTGTTAAAGTCATCTCTCCCCTTCCCAAATACTGGTGTGTATTCTTCAGGAGAGAGTAGGAATTGTCAGTAGCATCTCCTTTGATTTCTTATGGTCTCTGTAAGAATTGCTAACTCTGGCAAAATTGACTTTGCCTTGGACCCTCTGCTGCAGTCTTGTTTGACCACAACCCTCTAAGCTCACTTGCTGCTCGTTGCTGTGTGTCAGGGAATCTTGTCCGCACAGAGTGTGCAATAGTAGTAGTTGCTTTTTGCTGCCAATGTTACTTGTTTTTCCACTCCAGATCAAGGACATTCTCAAACCAGAAGTGATGGAGGAGATCGTTCTGGAAACTCGACAGAGGTTGCTGGATCTGGAGGGATAGGGCACATGGCCAGAAGCAGTCATTTGAAGTCTCAGCATGGCAGCTCTTGATTCTCAGTAATTTTTTTTTTGGTGTTCTAGTCCCCAACATTCATTCCACACTTCAGAAACCACCAAAATTCCTCATTTTAACTCCTAGGATACCTCCTGAGCCCTTTTAGTACAGTAGTACTAAATAGTACTTAAATACAGCCTGAAAAATTGATACCTGACCTTTTTGAAGATGCAGATGCAACTGGGACGTATCTCATAGCACTTGTTGCTGTGTCTAGTGCCTCTGAACTTTGTGGAGAATGATAGGGAGGAAGGGATGTGTTTTGTGATATTTCTCTCTACCCAAAGGCTTTCTAAATGGTTTTGATTTTCCTTTACTGTGATACAGATCTGCCAGTCTGTGCTCTGACTGAGAGCTCCTGTTTTTCTCTTTAAGACCGCAGATCACAGGTACAAGTCTTTAGAGGGCAGGAGTACCCACACCCTTGCTAACCACATTTTGGGTCTGGCTGTTCATGGCTTGTGTCTCAAGGGGATGAGATTGGATGTGGCATGATGTTGCTGTCCACATGAGCCAGGAGCCCTGGGCAAGCAGTGTCTTCTCAGTCTGCATCCTGCTGGTCCATTTTTTATGCCTGATGTGGTGAGCTCCTCCTCTGAGGAGGCTCCAGTGTTGTTTTCTCTTAAATATTTTACATTTCAATAAATTTTTTTGAAACAGATCAGTCATTCAGGAGTGCGTTCATTAGCTTGTCTTTCTCCAGAATGAATTTGGTCTAGCTTGAGAGCTGCGGTTGGCTCAGGTTTCCTTGTGCCAGGACTCGGAATGGTTGCAATGTCTTCTTATCTCCCCTTCAACCATTGCTTTTCATCCCGTTCAAGCAGGACTTGACCTTCCTCTTCAGCATATCTTCTGTGCAGAGTTCCTCTGTAAGTAGATTACCTGGCATAGTTCACAGTGGCTCTCTTAACATTGCTTCCCTGCAGGATCCCGTGGAGAGGTGAGTCATGCAGCAGCTCTGTCTGGGGGATGATGGGGAGCCCAGTATGACACTGGTGAAGATCCTCAGGACAGTGGTTAGTGGTGGGCATGCTGAGCCAGACGTTGGCAGTCAGGTGCTTGCCCTCTCTGTACAGAATGGATGTGATGCTTTCCTTAGAGCGTCCTCTTAGATCTCTGGTGCTATATTAGAGCTGTTTGTATTATATAGGTAGTGTGTATATATATTATATTTGTATTATAGTAGAGCTGCTTGCACCACAGTACTGTAATTATTAAAAAGGATGAAAAAGCAAAATGTCTGCCCTAATTGTCCCTGAAGCTAATCCTAACGTTGCAAATTCTCATGCTTGCCCCAGCCAAAAGGAAAAATTCTTTGCTCAGTCTTTTCCTGGGAAGTAGAAATGCCCATTGTTGCTTCTCGTCTAGTTCAGACTGCTCTGCTTTTAGTCCAGAGTAAGCACTAGGTGGCAGCTTTAGATCGTCTTTGTAGTATTTACCTTCCCCAGCAGCTCTGCCTCATTGCCCTGCCAAACAGCAAAGGCTGGATGTCTGCCACCAGTGCTGGTACCTAAATACGAGAGCATTATGGAGCTCAGTGGCTAAGGACAAGCAAGGACACGGGTAATCCGTTCTGCTGCTGCGCAACTCAAACTTCTGCCCGTGCTGCCTCTGTAAAATAGTACTAAACTTCTTGGGGATATCGGTGGAATGCTCCACACAAGACCCCGGAATTGTTATTTTTGAGTTTTATGAGGATTCCCTAGTAAGTGTTGCAACAATCACATCCTCAAGATGACTTGGGAAATTTGAAAGCCAGAGCTTGATGGTGACACTTTCAGGTCTGTGCATGAGGCTGGTAGCAACATTATCCACATCTGTGTGGACAGGAACAGTGCAAAAAGGCTAAAAGCTTTAGCAGCCTCTGCATCTTTTAATTAGAAAAGTACCTCTTTTTTCCCTGCCCCATTGCAGTAGTAGCAGCTGTTTATCTTACTGCAATACGGGGAGATTCAGGGGTTTCAGCTGAGAGGCTTCTAGGTGTAAGCAGATTGAGGGTATACAAGCAATGAGATAAAGTATCTGATGTTCCCTTTTTTCCAAGCATTTTGAAGGCTGATGAAGGGGTCTGTAGTTAATCCAGTAGATCTCTTTGCATCTCTGCCACTTAAACAACTCTGTGTCAGTTAAAGGGGAAAGGGGTCAAGAGACTGTACTTCACTACCACCTGGAGAGACTGGATATCTGGAAATGGTTCTGTTGAACTGGTACGCGAGTGCAAAATGCTCCTCTGTCCTCAAGCAACCTCTCTGCAGGCATCTAACAGGTCAGAAAGGGGTTGGGGGGGGTTACGAGGCTCTTGAAAGTGCTGTTTGGTAATGTGGTGGAAATGTGCTGAGGAAGTGTGCGCTGAAGGTGGTTAATTAAGAGTTGCATCATGCTTACAGGTACCAAGTGTGAGCTGTCAGACCTGCAAGATGAGACAGTGCCAGGTTCTCATAACACAGATCTTAAGAAAGAGGTGCTGGTGTCTCTGCAGCAGGCTGTGTGGGCTGAGTTGTTACTCCCTCGCTGCCCCCTTTTCCTCTCTTTTTTTCTTTTCTCCTTTGTTCTTTTTTCCCCTCTACGTAGCAGTCTTTAAAACTGTGGTCTATTTCCAGGCTTCTTATGCTAGCCCTCTCTCCCCATTGTGATCCTTTTTTTGTTATTGATGCTCAGTAAATGAGTGTACAACCTGAAGAACAACGCGCTCAAGATCTGTTCTGCTTCAGCTCCGAGCTTTCTGATTATTCCTGCTTGCTGCAGCATTCCTGATATTTTCGCCCTGGGGATGTGTTAAATGGGGGGAGAGTATGGGACTTATCCAGTTCCCGTGCTCCCGAATACCTGGCACTTTGATTTTTAAGCCTCAGAACAAGAGCACCAGCTGGTAAGGTTTGGTTATGGATCTTTTCTGATTGTGTGTGGAACTGAAGGTCCCGGTATTTTCCTCCCTGACCACGAGGCGTCATTGCTGTTCTTTGCAAAGTCAGCCAGTGCTGTGCCAAGCCCAGACCTAAATTCTGTAGCAAGGCTCTAGCGAGGTCATTGCTGGCAGTTCCTGCAACCCCATCAAGCAGGTAACTTTGCAAGCCAGCTTTGCAAGCCAGCAGGTAACAAGAGATGACGGTGACAAACTTGCATGGGGAGGGAGAAACGTCCTGAGCAGTTTCAAAGGTGTCTAAGAAAGGTCCAAGCCAGCTGCCGTTTACTGTTGATTTGGCTGAATCCCTATGACTTTTCTCTCTCTTGATGGACGTTGAGGGCCACCAGTGCTCATCCATCTCAAAAGCAACTGGATGTGCTGCTGGGGCTCATGCTTTCCATATGGGGAGGCTTCAAATATCACTGTTCAGTCATGACCCACAATATGGCAAATGACTTTTCCCCAGTGCCCAGCAGAGATGAGTGAGGAGTCAGACGGGGTCTGGGGGAGGGTTGGCAAAGAGGGTAGGCTCCAGCATTTCAGAGAGGTGGGAGAGCCGGGCCCCCTTTTTCCATAGGCAGGTCAAGACGAGGAGATGGGCAGGCTATATAAAAAATGCCTTGAAATGGGAAGTGCTTGAGACGTAAAGGAGAACTTCAGCAAAAAGCAGTGTCATCTTGAATTCTTGAAATAGTCTGTGAGATTTTGCTAGGCAATTTCTAAGCAGGAAGGGTGAAAAGGAAGAAACCACGGCTTCTCTGGTTTAAGAACAAAACCATAGTCGAAAGTGGCATCGGAAAAATCTAGTAAGTGTTCCTTTTTATATGGGGAACTCAAATGCCCTTGTAGGCATTCAAACAGGTTAGACCAATCTGATTTCTTCGGTCACCCGTGTCTGACTGTGTGGAGCCTGTTTGTAAACCAGCTGTAGCACTTGCCTGTGCTGCTTACTCTAGGGTTAAGACATGGCACAGACGTGCTTGAAAGTGGAGCTAGTAAATGGTTCCCTTGCTGGTGAGTGCTGCCTGCAGAAACGAGAACACAAAATCACTCGTCTGTAGAAATAATTTTCCTGTTTCTTGGTAGCAGTGTTTGATTCATGTACTAATATGAAGAATGGCATCCCCCTCTTTTCTCCCAGTAATAACCACTGGGATTTTAAATTTGTGTTAATGGGTTATTAATCTAATTACTGATGCTTATTACATTACCTTCTGTATCATCTGCATGCAGTTTTGCTGTTCAGTTGAGGTTAATGGTATAAATACAAAGCTTTGAGCAGACGCTAGAAGATACTGAAACCCCACTGAGATTACAGGCAGTCTTGAAATGGTTGTCTCGGGTTCCTGAGGACCGCTAATTAATATGCTAAGGTTTATTATTTGGTAAAGAGGTTGGACCTTTAAGATATTGTTATGGAGGAAATGGAGGAAACATCACTGCAGCTGTTGGGTGTAACAACCCACACTTACTGGAAGGTAAACAGAAAAAGTACTGAAATTTCTTTTATGAAATATATGGGATGTACACAGGCCACATGCAAAGCTTGACTGAAAGAAACAGTCTGTGGATTTTAAAAATTTATTCTGCATTCACATAATCTTTCTGTCTTTGGCTTCTTCTAGTAGTTTCTGAATCCACTGGGCAACTTCAGGTTTGTTAACATGAGACAACCGTGTTCACAAAAACTGGCAGCAGGGTAGGGGACAGAAAACACAATACCCTTCAGGAAGGAAAAGAGGGCAGGTATCTTGCTATGATATTTGGGAGCGACCAGCTGGCCCATCTGCCTGTGTATAGCCCCACATTAACAACAGCACTGCCTTGAGAAATGGGAAATGCTTTTGGAGCAACTGCTAAATGGAAGGAGGTTGGGGACTGCTGGCAATGAACCTGCCCCACTTTCCTGCTTATGATTGCAAAGCATAAGAAGGAATACCTGACTGTTGACCTGAATGATAAATTTACCTAGTCTGTTAAATAAAAAGTAAGTACATTCATCTGCATAGATCTCAGGTGAGGCAGGGAGGAGCATATATACAGCCTGTATTGTTCAGAACACAAGTCCTGCTTATTTGCAATTACCTTTGTGTATTTTGGTTGAGGTCTTCTGAGTATCATGGACCTGTGGTAGTCTTCTGGAGTTTACTCTGCTTCAGCCCTGCCAGGGTAGGAGAGATTATCCAGGATGGTCCAGTCAGACCCAGAAGGGAGTAACTTTTTTAGTAAAGGATGATTGGTATTGTTTTTTGTAACAAATTTCTCTCGGGTTGCTCGGCCTGTGTTGACAGACAGCTTTGTTTCC